CCGTCTTCTTGGATGAGAGTCTCGGGATGTTCCGCACCAGCGGCAGGGAGTGTATCAGACATCGCGCAGTTAATGGCGTTTCTGCATTTGGTTTCTTGTTTCAGGCTGTTAATTTTTATTCCTTTATGTTTTACGCACTTTTTTACTTATTCACTTTATGTTCAACTTCACTTTCTTGCAGATGTTATTTGTTGTCATTTCGGCGACATGTGTCACGGCAGCCGGATCCACTCCACTTCGGTGCGCGGATCATGGTTGCCGAAACTGAGAAATTGTAATAATCTATTTTGCAGTCACCAGCATCGAGCTGATGGACTCCAGTTTCGCGGATGTCGATATCGTTTTTCATATGCACTGATTCCTTTTTTGTCCTCCACTCGGCTTTCAGCCTCGTTTCATAAGGTGCTTGGTTCGGTTTACCAAGTTTTGGTCCGGTCTTCAACTGGCGACTGAACCGAAACTGAACTCTCATTCACTATCAGATCAGTTCATAAGCGAGTCATAACATGATTGGAACCGGAGACTTCACCATCAAAAGTTGTACACTAAGAGTAGGATGATTCGAGATGTCTGATCGTTCCGATTTCCTCGATACAATATACGCTCTCGTGCGATAAACCACCTGCCATTATCACATTTTTCACAAGAACGAAAACAGTACGTCTTAAACTAAATGGTTTGCTCAATCAGAACTCGATAATGTCCATGCTTTTACCTTGAAGGCTGCCAACTGAATTATTCCAGGGTGATCCGAAAAGTATATGGCTAGTTGGGAAATTCCTTACTCAACACCCAGTGCCAACAAAAACCGTGTATTCCAATGTTTCAACAATACAGGCACCTCTGAATCCCCGTCTTACGCATGTACACATATTTATCTGTCTCTATTACAGAAACACCGCATGGCACCCACCCGAGAAAACTACATCTTTTTGCTCCACGAATTTTCAATGGCAATTTAGGTCTCAACCCCGCCTTTTCTTCACTGCTCATCGTGGTTACGCTTGCAACTAGTCATCGGTTGTTGATCCCATTAGCTTTCTAGAAAATATGCAGCTGCCATTCGTGCGGTTGTCTCTTAGTCATCTTTGTCCGGCTCACTAGTTGCATTAGTCGTTTGTCAAAAAGTGCCCCATTTTGTTGAACACACGGGCTGAGTAAGGTCGGTTGCGTTGATTTAGTTTTTTGGCTCACGGACCAGTGTTCCACTTGCTATCGTTCAACAGTTGCTAATTTAGACCTCTTTTTTGGAAAGTTTGCGCTTCATATATGGTGCAATTTGTCCGTGTGTGCTCGGTTGGTCATGACATATACATACGTCATCAAACACGAGCTAACTGACCTTTCCTTCATGCAGCACAGTTTTATATGGACAGTTGAATGACCGACGACTTTTATCGGACAGCGCGCCCTTTATCACACTGCTTGCTTTTCTCCGAATCCAGGGTTGCATTGGGACCACGGTGAATCGAGGCCCGGCGGAAGCGGCATTCACGTTTCTGAAACCAGATTTATTACCAATTCATCCTCAATCCGTGTCCTTACCCGGATCCCCTCCGATTCTGGACATTACAGGTTATGCAGACGCACAAAACAAACTGCGCGTCTGTTTCCGCCGCCTGTTGCAGTCGTACGTTCCGGTTGTACACAAAGTTGCATTATTTTGGTGACTCACCATCAGCACATTTTCCCTTCATTGTAAATTTATCACTGAAAACTATAGACGTTGTACCAATGCGTCTTTTTAGCATGTATTTGTTTACCATCTCCAATCTTCGTAGCCATTATGAAAGCGCGATATATTCCCCATCTAATGTCCACTCTTCTCCAAGCTTCTCACTTATCGGCATGTTCACACTAAGTCAGTGACTAGTGTGTTATTGGAGCTCCGTCTTTCACTCGAAGCGACTTTTCTATCTCCAGCATGCGACCTTTATTGCTGCGCATAGGTAACCAGTATACAGCACAGTAGCGTGTCAACAACGATTTCTCAGGTTGACTTCGGCTTTGATAGGCATGAATGTGCAATGTTCTTCGTTGGAAGATTGCAACTTTTAAGCGGACGTAATGGAATCAAAATGGGCAGCTTTTCTGCCTGTTGATTTGAAGCTGGTGGTGTTTTATTCTCATTTGTAGTCTCTCATTTTCACCAGCATCAATATCATTTCACATTAACTGAAGATGCGAAACACACTGTAACAATGGGGCTACAATATATAAGATAAATGACAAAATGAGATACAACACGTTACACGATTCACAAAATCAACCGGTGATATACGGCTTAGTAACACAGTGTGCTTCAACACAGAGATCATGGTTGGAGGACGACGATAACCGGGATTGGATTGGATGAAGGAACAACACAAGCACCATTGAGCTCTGCTCCTCGCCATGTCAACTAGTGTACCCGACCCAACGTGTTTATAGGCGTTGAAACCCCAGCCCGGCAGTCGGGAGACACCAACCGACGCCAAGTTCGAAGTGAGCGCCTTCATTCCTTTTGACCAAGTCATCGCTTGGCCTTCCCTTCTTCCGTTAACATCCCGGTCACGCAATCAATACACGTCACAGCAGTCAGGGTGCCTACATGCGCTACACCCAGCACAGGCATCGGAGCATGGTTCGTAAAATAAGGGTACTGAGCGGTTGGCTCGTTCTTCTTTCACTAACTACGCGGCGCCGAACACGCTCATTGCTCACGCGTTGTTTCCACTAGATGAGAGCAGTGCTCCAAAGTTAGCGATAGTCAAGCGTTACTATCCTATTTGCATCTGTCGATTTAATGGGCCAAGTTTCGCAACCATACAGCATGGTTGAGTGAACGGTTGCATTGTGAACTCTGTTCTTCAGAGCGAGAGTGATATCGCGACGGTGCCACAGGTGGCGGAGTTTGGCATAAGCTCCACAATGTTTTGTTATACTGTTCGTGATCCCGTCTTCCATTCCACTGACATTGATATAGCTGGCTATTTACTTGAATTCCTCGATCACTACTGGCTGATCCCTACCAAGAGCCAGCGCAGGAGCCGCTACCTGCCAATCTTGTAGAATGACTGCACTGCAGCTGGAATTGTCGACTCGGACCAAACGTTTGTCATTGTAATTGTCCTCTGTTTGGAAGCATAATCGTTAAAGTATTTATTGCATATGCTGCTTTATTCATACTGGCTCTAGGAGAGAGTTAATCGTTGCTGGAGTGGTCGGGGTGCACGATCCTTGTGGTCGTGCTAGTCTCGAAGAGTGGTTCCATGCACTCAGTGTGGAGCGGAGTACAGTCCAGCCACCGCATTGTTTGTGTTTGCTTCCCAAATACAGCGTGCTTGTGTTTGCCTGTGAAGGAGTGTGAGCCGGCTCCATTGATGAAACGTGGCTCCCATCCACATGCCTCCCGGTCTTATTTCTTCGGTTTTACACTGGATATGGGGTGTGTGGATGGAGCTGTGGGTGGTGCAGCGCAAGCCATCCATGGTCTCTCTGTAGGCGTAGGCGTCCTGTGGCTGACCCCAGTGACAGGCAAGTTCGAAACTGGATGCACCCAACCATTTATTCCTTTGTACATAGTATCGTTATCCAGTTTCGGATTTGATGTTTCTTTGATCCCGGTGGCAACGCGTCACTCGAACCTATCAAGCAAATTTTGTTGCTAATGACACTTAAGGTGGCTTTCTTTGGAGTCCACGGACTTTGGCCCGCTTCTTCCCTTTGAAGTGGCATACATCATTCGAAGTACCAGTGCTGATCACGTGTCCACTACGGTTCGAATCTCAATCGAAAGTAATCGCCTTCTGTGTGGAACCATGTCTTTGAAAAGGATATCCTGCGAAACTGAATATGCAACTCGGCAAGTCAAGCTTTTTCCTGTTGTTGATGACGATGTGGTTTCATGTTCTGGGACACAATTTAGCGGTAGGAATAAACCGATTGTTGATTCTTACGGCGCTTTTGCAGCGTTGAAATTAGCAGAGTCGCACAGAGAGCAGTTACTATCCAAGATGCAGTTGGAGAATAAGAAACGTGTTTTGAAAGCCGAGAGCGCACTAAGTACGGCTAAGCTGCGTTTAGAACATGAGAGGGTTGACGATCCTGAACCACCCGATGTTCTCAGTCGATTGCCAGTAGTTAGGAATGAACAAATGGATCGGTTCTTTAAGACTGTCGCATTTCGCTGCCTGAAGTGACTGCCCATAAATCTTCTGCCGCCAGTTTGCGGGAGGATTATCCTCCATGATTGGACCTACGTAGGGTCGAATTGGAGTGTTTTGATGGTAATCCGTCAGATTACTGGTGGTTTATAAAGAAATTTGAATATTTCATTGAAGACCGAGTAGCCTGTAGAGGCCAAATATTGCTCTATTTGATTTATTATTGCTAAAGACGCCGTCAGCGAATGCGTAACGTTGCCCCATGAAAGGGCATACGACAAGACTAGGGTCATTCTTCGTGATTTATTGGGTCAATGTCACATTGTGGCTAGATCATTAATCGACAGTTTATTCGCCGGTCTGAAACCCCTAGCGCATGATCATGATTCCTTATCACGTCTATCCATAAAAGTGGAGGATTGTCACACTGCTCTTTTCCAGATGGATTTCACTGCTGATCTGGGCTCGGTAGCTACTATTGAGCGATTGGCCCGCGTCTTGCCCAGTAGCCTACAGTCGAGATGGGCAAGAGCAGCGGATTCCCTCGTCCAAGAGGGATGGGACGTTTCGTTTAGAGCATTGACAGACTTTATCGCCACCGAAACGCGAGTACCACGTAGTAGATTTGGTCAGCTGGCGACGAGGAGCACTCCGCGTCTCTAGAATGTGGCGCAGTCGCAATGGTCGGGTGATAAACGTACCGACCGTAATTTGGCTTTGTATACATCCTCAGTGCAGCCCCAGAAACCAGCATGCCTAATCTGCAGCGAGAAACATGGCACAGCGTCACGTCCGACATTTCTGTTCTTAGACGTCTCCGGTCGCTGGGAGCTTGTAAGATCGAAGGTGAGATGTTAGAACTTTCTGAGACTAGACCATCGGGCTGTGAGCTGTCGAGATAGTAAGGGATGCAGGCTACCTTCATGCAAAGGTAAACCCCATTCCCTGTTGCATGTGGAAAGGACACTAAGTTCGCCTCAGGAGACCAACATTTATCATACTACCCGTTCCGCTTCCCAGAAGGAATGTCTCGGTGTGGTCCCGGTGCTTTTGGTAGGTCCCTTGCGATCGGTTGAGACGTATGCCCTATTGGACAGCGGTTCCGATGTAAGCCTTATCCAGCGAGACATTCTGCAGGAGGCCGGGATAAAGGTGAATAATGCGTCTCTTAAAGTACAGACAGTAAGTGGTTTTGCATCTCTAGACGCAGATCTTGCGGATTTTCAACTATCGGCTTTGGATGGCTCCGATTCAGTCAAGGTAGAACTCTGAATAATGTAAGTTGCCCCATCAGCCAGGTTGCGAAGCGTTGGCCTCATCTAGCTGATGTTCAATTGGTTGAGATAAAGGATACTAACGTCGAAATTTTTTGGGAGCCGGTATACCTGAAGTTCACTGGCAGCTTGAACAGCGTCGTGGGGGGGAGGGGTTCGGATACTCCGGTTTGCCGCAAAGACCTTGCTAGGATGGACGTTACTGGGACCTATGGGCTGGAGCCAACAGACTGGAGTATCGGTGAATTGTGTGCAAGCAGATGATATACCGCTGGTAGAGCAATTCAGACTTCTGTATGAAAGCGACTTTGAAAGGGTGAATTAGAGCTGTCGCTCATTCTCCGTAAACGACAAAAATGCCCTATGTATCGCTGCGAATTCAGTGCGGTTAGTAGATGGACACTTCGAGTTAGCCCTTCCGTGGAGAAATTGGCGAGCGAACGTTCCCAACAACTATGAGCTAGCTTGGCATCGACTGCAGTGTCTGAGCCGCCGATTATTAAGTAATCCATCATTACGAGGAAAATACATTGAAAGTGTGGCGGCGAATGTCGAGAAAAGGTATGCGATTCCCGTGCCATTCGAGCAGTTGCGACCTGATTATACTCCGAAGTGATATCTACCACATCATCCTGTTATAAACCCGGAAAGCCGAGTGAACTCAGAATTGTTTTATACGGTGCGGCCAAGCATAAGCGTGTGTCCCGAAATGACCAGCTACTCCCAGATACCACGGCAAACCTTATCGGTATTCTAATACGTTTCCGCAACGAGAAGGTGACAGTCTCAGCAAATATAGAATATATGGACATGCAAGTATGGGTGCACTTCGATTCCTGTGGTGGAAGGATAATGCGATAGACTCTGAGGCGGTAGAGTATCAGATGATGGCTCACTCTTTCGGAGCAACCTCGTCTCCCTTCTGTGCAACTGTTACTCTATGTGTGGGGATATCGATATGACAATACTGTGTCGGAGGCAATCCGTAACAACTTGTATGTCGACGACCTGCTGATCTCTATGCCGACTGTAGAAATGGCAACACAGTTCGTGGCAAAAATTAGAGTGATACTGAGTAGAGCGGGGTTCCGTCTATGGAAATGGGTCTGCAACTACCCAGACGTGTACGAAGCGGTCCCGCACACTGAGGTCGCTGACTGTATCAAACCGATAGAGGAATTATCTGGGTCAGTCCGACGAGCTCTGGGGCT